ACCCAAAAAAAAAAAAAAAAAAAAGATTGTAAAGTAAGTTTGTTAATTTGCTTGGACAGAGTTAGATTTAAATTTAATAAGTATGATAAAATATTGCTATAGTAATGATCAAAATTACTATTATTATTATTTTTGAGTTGGAGTCTCACTCCATCATCCAGGCTGGAGTGCAGTGGCACACTCACCGTCACCCCAGCATCGATTCTGCCTGTCTTCCAGGTAGCCGGAAATACAGGTACAAGCTATCACACCCGGCTAATTTTTTTTTTGTTAACTGTAGATATGAGGTCTTGCCAAGTTGCCCGGGATGGTCTAGAACCCGCAGGCTCAGTCAAGCCACTCGCCTCAGTCACCCAAAGTGCTGGGATTACAGGCTGAGCCACTGAGCCCAGCCCCAAAATTATCTTTTAATCAAGCAATTCCACTTCAAGAAATCTGCCTACAAATAATTCTCAAAAAAAACTTGTACAAAGATAAATATGTACAAGTACTGAAAACAATTTAGATACCAATTAATACGGAGTAGTTAAATAAATCTCTACCAGCTTGTATCTACTTTTAAAAAATAGCTATTTGCAAATACATAGTGCTTATCACGTACTAGCTCCTATTCTAAGTGGTTTGCATATACAACTATTTAATTCTCATATCAACCCCATGAGGTAAGTAATTATTATTATCCCTATTTTATAGATGAGAAAACTAAGGTATAGAAAGGTTAAGTAATTTGTTACACTAGTAATGGTGAAACAGCACTTTCTCTCACACAGCCTGACCCCATACTCCTAGTTTTTAATCACTACACTGCATTGCCTCTCTTAATTCAGACCTACATATTCTGAAAACAAAAGGTGTCCAAGGTACATGGTTGAGATGGGGGGGAGAAAAACAGCATGTAAGACCCATTTATGTTTTCTAAAGATAGGTGGGGAGTCTATGTTTATAAACAAAAAAAATTTGGGGAAGATGCATAATAAACTGTTAAAAGAGTACCTATTTCTGAGAAATAGGACAGGGCACTAAAGGGAATAGGGAGATAAATTTTTAAATTTTTTTCTTCATATACTTCTATACAGTTTGAATTTGTTTAAAAATTAATCATACTTTTTTTAAAAACCCAATTAATAAAAGGAGAATATTTTATCCCTTGGGGTCTATTAGTAAACTGGAGAGAAATTCTTTCCCACTTCCCTTCTATTTAGTATGTCCACAGTCAGAAGCTTTTCCAACTTTTGTCTTATAACCTGGCCTTTCATTTTTTTCTTGCCTCCGTCAGTATTCAACAATTATACACCAAGCACCCTCTATATACCAAGCATTCTGCTAACTGCTGGGGTATATATGATGAATATTATACTTTCCAACCTTAAACACTCATGGCCTTGACAATACAATTTGTTTTCCTACCCTTTTTTTACCCCCTCAAATAGAGTTAAAACAAAGAATTCATTATAAGGAACAATAAACATTTTAAATCTCTCTCCTAAAATCCTTTCCGGTATATCCCAACTGCCTACTCAACACCATCTGAGTATTTAATAAACATCTCAAACTCACATGCCCAAAACTGAATTCCTGATTTTCCTTCTAAATCTACTCCTCCTGTGGTTCAGTAAATAAAAACTCTATTCTTTAATTATTTGAACCAAAAACCCTGAAGTCACACAAGGCAGAATCATGTCTGTTCTACCTTTACAATATATTCAAACTCTAATAACCATTCTTCCCCACCCCATCTTGTCCAAGTCACTGTCATTTTCACTTGGTTGCTGCAACAACCTCCAAACCGATCTCCCTGCTTTTGCCTTTGCCCTCCTATGTTCTATTTTCCACAGAACAGCCAGTGATCCTCATCTTGTCACTCCTTTGTTCAGCATCCCTATCTTCCAATCTCATTCAAAATAAAAGTCCAGTTTTTCAAGTGGCCTGTGAGACCATCTAGGATCTGATCGCCTACCTCCTTACTGCTCTATGCTCAATTCCTGCTAATTTCTATTCTGCTCCAGCCACACTGACCTTTGTGTTTCTTGTACACCAAGCATACTCCTGCTTCTGGGCCTGTGTACTTACTTGTTCTCTTTTGTTACGACATTCTTTCCTCTTATATCCATAATGTTCCTTTCAGGTCTCTCGTCAAATGTCTTTTCAGCAAGGTGACTACCCTATTAAAAGAGCAAGCCACACTCCTCACCATTTTGGCATTCCCTTCCCCCTTCCTTTACTTAATTTTTCTCCTTAGAATTTGCCTCCATCAGACATATATTTACTTATATATTTGTTGATTGTCTGTTCCACCTTGAAAATGTTATGTAAGCTCTGTGTGGGCAAAGTCTTCTGTTTTGCTCACTGCCACATTAGAACTATGTACTATGACCCAGTAAGCACACAGTAAATTTCTGACTAAATGAATTAAAATGGAAAGAGTCTAAGGTCCGTAAGCAGTGGAAAGCTAAGGCCACAAATCATAAACATTTAAGTATTCATATTATAGAGGAAGCAACTTTTCAAGGTTTACATGTCAGTAATAACTATTCACACATACGAAAGTTATGTTTTTATGACACAGGCACAACCTACTAATCCATGAAGGTGCCACAGAAAGTACCACTGATGTGTAAAAGACAACACACTGTTCATCATCTAGTTCACTTCATTGCTCAAGCCAAATCCAAGAAATTACTCTATAGTCTTCTCTTCTTAATCCAAGTCCATCATAGGCCCTATTGACTCTACCTTCAAACATCTCCACTAGTGCTCCAGACCACACCAGCATCATCTCTTGGCTAGACTACTGTATTAGCTATTTTACTGCTTCTGTTCTTGTCTTTCTGTAGCACATTCCCCATACACCAGCCACAGAGTCTTTTTAAAATGTAAATAAGATCCTGTCACTCCTTAAGATGTCCAGTGGTTTCCCAGTATACTTGAACTAAAGCCAAAGTCCTCAGTCTGCCATAAAAGGCTCCTGTCTATTTTTCCAACAGACTTATCTACTACTGTTGCCTTCACTTGCTACACTCCAACCAAATGGCTCCTTTCTTGCTCATAGAAAACAATCTAGGCTTGGGTTTACACTCATCCCTATATCTGTACTTTACATCCAAATGACTGTTTCCTTACCTTTCAAAACACCTCTTAAATGTTACCTTCTCAGAAAAAGCTCCCTTGACCATCTAAAGTAGGCCCCCAGTTGTACTCTATTAGATCTCCCTGTATTAAAGATCAGGAGACTTCCTGTTATTATCCAATATTCTCTTGCTTTTGTTTTTCTGTTTGACTCTTTACAACAAGAATTTATGTTTCAAAAACCTACTGTATAGTGCATGCTCAGTAAATTTGTTGACTATTTAATGAAATCAGAGTCCCTATTTACACTATAATTTACTATCTTTGTATTATAAAACCTTCCCAAAATTAAACAAGAGACACCTAAAAGGAACAGTCAAAAGAGACAAATTATGTGGTCGTGTAACCATTCAAAGTCAGATGTAATCAACAGTTTTGTTTTGGGGGGTTTTTTTCTTTTTCTTTCTTTCTTTTTTATTATAAAGATGTGGGGTACAATTCAGGATTAGGTATACAAATGCTGATTATGCAGGTACCCTTGTTGATGAGGTATAGTTTTTGTTTGTTTGTTTGTTTGTTGAGTTGGAGTCTCACTCCGTTGCCCCACTGGAGTGTAGTAGTACACTCCTGGCCACCACAGCTTCGACCTGCTGGGCTCCAGCGATCCTTCTGCCTCAGCCTTCCAAGTAGCCAGAACTACAGGTGCACGCTACCACGCCTGGCTAATTTTTTATTTATTGTAGAGATGAGGTCTTGCCAAGTTGCCCGGGCAGGTCTCAAACCCGCAGGCTCAGGGAATCCACTCACCTCGGCCTCCCAAAGCACTGGGATTACAGGCTGAGCCAGTTTTGTTTTTTTAAAAAAAGAAACTTGGTAAAGATGATCTAAAACAGTGGAAAATTTGAAACGCATATGTCTATGACTTTAAGATAGATTATAGAATTTTCTATAGTATTAAAGTAAAACCAGTTGAAACACCAGCTTCAAGGGATATAAGGGAAGGTGAGATGATGGCAGAAGAAAAACTGAAGAATGATTTGGAAACAGAAGATAAAGCCACAAATAACAGAGGTAAGCTAGGATTGAAATTTGCCACAGATAATCGCCAACATGAATAATCCACACTGGGTAATAGAATATTGACTATAATTACATTCATCCTACTGACCTTGTTCTAAATTATTATGGATTATTACTACGCAAGTTATTTTGTTCCACACCAGAGGTGGCTGTATTTCGCTATCAGATGACATGACCTCTAATTCAATAATGTCTGTAATGCACTGGTATCCTCAGATAAAAGCTGTCTATAATGTCTGAACAAAGGTGAATTAGTTATCCAATTCACACACGCAATTAACTCTCTTAATACCTGAGAGACCATGGAGCCCCTTCTGAATTTCCTATTAAATACTGCATATGGAGGTCTTCCCTCCATCTGTAGTTATCTTGTGCTGTACTTCATAATAAACAATATTAATAGTTTATTGCCCCCGTCAAAAATCTTGCATTAGTTATCATGAGAGACCTCATTCCAGAAAGCAATGACTCCTTTTCCTGGAAAAATGTATTAAATTCAAATGTTATGCTTATTAGTAAAGCACAATAGTTATATAAAAATAATAATACCTTATGAAATATGGAAAATAATTTTTTTACTATTGTAAGAACACCTTTTAGAAGCCAAAAGGCAATATTTATCAAGTAAATTTATATTTATATGCTGTACTCAGTCAGTCAGCCTAAATAAAAGACTATTTAAATTCAGGTGTTAAAGGGCAAAAACAAATCAAAACATAATATTTCTTGCCACCTGTTCCCTCTACTAAGAGCTAAAATTTCATAAATAGTCTGAAGGCAGAGCACTGTGCCTCTGCTTTGTACCCATATGTGATGCCAATGGCTGAATTTATAAAAACTCAGAGCAGAATAACTAGGTAATGTCAAATGTTAAGCAAACACCCTTGCCTTCTTTAAAAAAGGAGGTAATTAATTAACTCTTCAGGGGATGCTTTTCATTTTAGTCATCTAACATAAATGTATCTTTTTTAGCAGAGAACAAAATATCCCTAAAATAAAACCTAACTCTCTTAGAACACATTCACATTAAAGTTCTCAATGTAGTAGGCAAATTCTACGAGAAGGTAAGTGGTTAAATATATCTAAGAATGGTACTACAGTTCAAATTAAATCTGCTGTTCACCTGGGTATTCACTGTTCCTCACAACTCAAGATAGAGAGGTAGAGCAAAGGAATAGAAAATAGTTTCTTTACATGTGTTTCATATGTTATCTGCTCATGACATGACAGACGAAGGACATTATAGAAACTGAAAAGCTAAGCAGGTGACATTCTTCACTCTATAAACAATCTAAACTACAAACCAACCTTCCGCATGCTGCAGCACAAGAAATACCGACTCCTCAGAGATGATGTACTTATGCAGACACACCATGTTGGGCACACAGCGGGGGATGATGGTCTTTCTGTTCCTGCTGTATTCACTGCTTTTCCTTAGACCCTGACAGAGAACAAAAAGGTCAGTTGTATCCTCAGTTGCCTTTGGAGCCTGCTGTGCTCTGTGTTTATCAACCAAACTAATCTATCCAAGTTACTCTGGGCTTCAGAGAAACCACTCATCTGCTGCTCTATGCCCCTCAGTCCCTGGAGGCTCTGCTGATGGCATCTGGCATGAATCCAGAGAAGGGAAGATGCCACAAAGCTGCCATTAAAATCAATTACGTGGGTCAGTGTTTTTATTAGAGATGCTCTCAAACTAAGTCATCAGGATGACACACAGTTATTTCTCTATGACCTTTCCTTAAGTTTTATTTTACTTATGTATATCTTTAAAGCAGCAGATGACGTGAGATCAATTCAAATTCCTGAGACACAAATAATATTCCTAGATCTACCAAGTAATTTAAAAAATTCTATCCCCCAAGAGGAAAGATTATTAAGTCTTCTCACAAGGAGCAAGGTTTGTGTATTTTCTGGTGTTACACCCAGTTTTAATAACTGAGGAAATGTCAGTGATAAAGTATATTCACAAAAAGAAATGTTTCAGAATGTGTCAATGTTACCTACTTTCATGCCTTATTGGCAAAAGAAAATGTATCAGAAAAAGAAATATAAAATTAATCAATTCTGTGGAAATGCTTAAGTTAGAATATATTCTCACAGTTTATTCCGAATATAATCTCAAATTTATAAAACTGAGGGGCTTTTTTTTCTCCTTATTCGTTTACTTATAAATTGAGTTCTGCACAGAATCAAAATTAAATTTAGATCAAAAGGAGGGCTGGGAATGAATAACACTTTCCCAAAATACCTGTAACAGGCTTTAAGGCAAAATGTTAGCTCCTAAAAACTGTAGTCATAATCAAAGATAAGACATGTGTAGTCTTATACAAAATGTATTTAAACTATGCACTATACACTTAAGCAGCATGAGATGACTCTTCAATTTATCTAAATTATTTCCTCCATACTTTATAACAAATAATTCTTTAAGTGCATGCTACAGACTTTTTATCAACTGTGATGGAAGGGCAGAAAGAAAAATAGAGATCACCACAAACATAAAACAACATTCAAACACCCAGGGGGAAAAATATTAAATCTCTTTTCTTTCATAAGCACTATTTTAAAATTTTTTAATTCATTAAATATACAAATTCTACTTACTTTTAAAATGAATGTCTGTTCTGTCCTTGTGTCCATTATAAGTAAAACCTACATAAAAGACACAAGTAATAATTTACTCACAATACAATAAAAAGTAACTCCACTTTTTGTTTTTGAGACAGGATTTCACTCTGCCGCCAGTAGGAGTGCAGTGGCGTGACCATGGTTTGCAGCCTCAAACTCATGGTGCAAGTGATCCTTCTGCCTCAGCCTCCCAAGTGGCTGGGGCTACAGGTGCACACCACCATGCCTGTCTGTTTTTCTATTTTTTGCCTTGTTGCCCAGGTTGGCCTCAAGCAGTCATCCCACCTCACCCTACCAAAGTGCTGGGATTACAGGCTAACTCCACTTTGTAAACCAAACTTTAGAAGTGTTGGGGGAAGGGTTGGAATTGACTCTTCCCGATCATTAACTTCTGAATATATTTTAAATTACCAAATCACAGGATCAAAATAGTCTTATCCAAAATAGATTTTATTTGATTTTCTTTTCTAAAAATGTCATATTTTAGAAACACTGCTAGGTTTCCTAGATGTGTTTTTAAATGCATTTCTTAAAAGTAAGAGTTCATTATTCCAGACAAAGAATGTTTCCTCATGGAACATATATGGTTAAGAGGAAGTGGTTCAAAAAATTGCTCAAGTCTCAATTTTCTTCCTAAAATTTCTTATGTAGCAACTAGCTATAATGGAATTTCAATAACAGGCTCTAGCTAAGGCATCCTTTGGTACTGCTTCTCCACCCTGGGCTCACACCTAACTCCTCTTTTTACCATCAGCAAATCATGTCAGCTCTATCTTCAAAATATGTCCACAATCTTAACTTACCTCATCACTTCCACAGCTCTTACCATGATCCAAGCAAAGACCAACTCTTACCTAACTTATAACAATAGCCATTCATCTGCTCCCTGTGTCCATCTTTGCTGCCCTGTGGTCTATCCTAAAAATAACAGCCAGGATTTTTTATAAACATGTTAGAACATGTCCCTCGACTCATCTCACTAAGAGTAAAAGCTGAAGTCCATAAAATGACCTCAAGACCCCTCAGGATCTCTCACACATTGTCCCCTTGAACTACCCACTCCCCACCCATTTTGATGGGCAGAAGTTGCTAACAGAGGTAGGAAATTACCCTACCCTACTAAAGTTTTATTATTGTGGAAATATTCTAGTAAAGGTTGGTAGACTTTTTCTGCACAGGACGGAAAGTAAACATTTTAGGCTCTGCAGGCCCATGCAGTCTCTGTTGCAGCTTTTCAACTCTGTCACCGTAGAACAAAAGCAGTCATAGCCTGAAGTTGGCACTACAGAAATCATCAAACACTGCAAATGAGTTTTCTCCCCGCACCAGAGAGCTGGCTGTCAAACATTTACCAGTCTACCACTGGGTAAGCAAAGACAGGAGTCAAGAAGGGGGGAAAAAAAGATGTTAAGCTTGGGAAAATAAAAGAATGGAGAGAAGAAAACAGGAAAATTAAGATGGGAAACAAGTTTGAGAAGATGGTAAATTCCATTTTAGACATAATAAATTTGAATAGTAACAACTTCATTTTGACCTCTCTTCTGGCCTATAACTATTTAAATTTCCATTCAATTTCAAAAGAATATTCCCACAAGTACCTCATAAACTCATTCCTTCCTCTTCCCAAAGCCCTGCCCTCACCAAAAAAAGAAAAAAGAAAAAAAAGAAAACTTTTTCCTCCTCTTATAGTACTAAATAACACCATCCTCTATGCATGCTTCCAAACCAGAGTGGCCTAAGACATTATGAACTCTGTCCTGTCTCCTGCCTTTAGAATGATTGACCACATCAAGTCAGTTTGTCTCCTAAGCACTTCTTTTATCCACCCTCTAGTCTTTCATCTACCATGTTTTAAGTGTTTACTATATGCTATACTTTAGCATGTGCAATTGACGTTAATCCTTTCAATAACCAATGAGATAATCTTACCACTCCTCTTATACATGTGAAGGCATTATAGCTTCTTAGGTAGAAGCAGTAATGGTGGATAATAACATCTGTGAGGATTTTAGTGAGATGACCTTATAAAAGTATAGCCAATTATTGCTGCTATCACTATTACTGCTTTTTTGCCCTGAAATGTTTCCCCCAGTCACTTATCAAATAAGTACTCATCTTTCCATATTCAGCACAAATGTCACTCTCTCTCAGTATCATTGACTACTTTCTTCCTTTGTTCTCCCATTTTATTCAGTACAAACTTCTATTATAACATCTTTAATCCTTCAATGTGGTTTAGTGTGTTCCCTTGTCTATCACCCAAGCATACTTCAAGCTCTTTATGGGCATGTCATAAGCAGAAAAATGGCCCCCAAAGATATTCACACCCTAAATATCCCCAGAATCTGTGAATATGTTATATTACTGGCAAAAAGGACTTTGAAGGTGCGATTATGGTACAGACCTTAAAACAGATTATTCTACATTATCTGGGTAGGCTCCATCACATCACATGAACGCTTTTGAAAAGTAGAGAACTGTCTCCTACCAGAAGAAATTCAAAGCACAGAAGTGATGTGACAGAAGGAGAAAGCAGATACAGAGCATGAGAAGGACAGGCAGCTGCTGCCTCTGAGATACAGAGATTGACAGGTAAGCACCAGAGAGAGGCTTCTAGGAGCTCATAGTAAGCCTGAGAAGGAGCACTTGAGGCAACTTCTAGGAGCAAAGACCAGCCCCTGGCTGACAGTCAGCAAAGAAACAAAGGGTTCACCCTATGACTCTGTGCAAAGAACAGAATTCAACCAACAACCTGAATGAGCTTGGTAGCAGATTCTTTTCAGAGCCTCCACTAAGAACAGCCGCATCTGCAGCACCTTGATTTTATAGCCCAATGAGACCTGTGTCAGGCCTCTGACCTGCAAAATTTTAAAACAATAATTCAGTTGTTTTAGGCTACTAAAATCTGTGGTAATTTGTTATGACAGCAATAGAAAACTAATAGCAAAAAATGTATTTCATCTATTACAGAACACATTGTTCTCATATAGTAAATGTTCGATAAACATATGGTTAGTGAATTCGACTGTAAGAATTTGGAAGGTAGATGACAACATGGGAATGGAGCTTAGAAAATAAGTTAAGACTAAAGATTATTTTTGAGAATTCTCCATAAAGATAGAAGTTAAAGACACAAGAATGTATCCGACTGAAAATACTTCCTTTAAACCAGGCACTATGCTGGGCTTTAAGAAATTAAATCATGTAATGCTCTCAACAATCCAAAAGGTAGGTATCTTTTATTAACCAATTTCACAGATGAGGAAATAAACATAAAACTAACTTCCCCATGCTCTCAAAGCTAAGAAGTGGTAGAGGTGAAATTTAAACCTGGGCAGTGTGACTCCAAGGTTCTTCCTCTTTTACTGCTAACTGCTATGCCATTTATGTCTGAATGAAAATTATACATAGTTGAAATATTGTGGTGGATAAAGACAACTACAAAAACTGTGGTGAGAAAAGTACAAAGAGAAATATTGTGGTGGATAAAGACAACAACTACTAAAAGTGTGGTGAGAAAAGTACAAAGAGAAATGTCAGAGACTGAGAATGCTTAAGATGAGAGTAATCATCTGTGTCAAACAAAGAATGAGGACTAAGAAATGATCACTGGCCAGGGCAGTCAGGAAGTCACTGGTTACTTTCAATATTGCATTATGCTGTGAACTGCTGAGGACTAAAACCAGATTGCCCAGGGTTAAGAATGAGTGATAAGAAAATGGAGGAGACATACATAAATCTTTCAATAGTAAAGTATGTCAAAAGGAAAAACATGAAAAATAAGAGTTAATGGGATCATCAGTTCACAGGTTTGGATTGTTATTATTTTTAGATAGGATAGATGTAGTCTCTCTATAAGTGCCCTCTGTGCTACATTCACCACAAATCTTGCACTTCCAAGTCATGGAAATACATTCATAGATCTTGAAATTTGTAAGTTAAATGAACATATCATGAGTACAAAAGGAAGCACCATGGTCCTTTTTCTCCAAAGGAAGGCTCAATGAACAACTGTTGAATCTGTTAATACATCTTATGTCCTTGAGTCTCATTTGTTTTTCTGTCAGGTGTGCCTCTTTCAAGTCACCCACCAGAAAGCCAATCCTATTTGAATTAGATATATCAATATGAAATGGAAAACATCTCACCAGGTAAAAGACATGGAAGCTACATAATCAGAGGAAAGAACTTTTTCCTACCAAAGCCTCTTAATTTATTCAACAGATCACTGAGCCAGGAAGCATGAAGTGAATCAGATAAAAAGGCCAAATTAAGATGGATAAACATGGCTGGGAAATGCTGTTTTGTTTACATTTACTTTCTTCTCCTATCAAGTTTGTTTTCAACTAGACAACATTCACATTGAGGCAATAAACACAAGAACATATGTGATTTTTTTTAAATGTGCCCTTTGACTGTCAATTTCTCCCAAACAGGTGTTGGCTAAATGATTATAAATTGGCCTCTGGATACACCTCTTCAACTGAGCCGTACAGGGTTGGTGATAATATAATTAGACCTAAAAACATCAGGCTGGTGAATGCTTTCCATCTGTTTGGCAATAATGTTTAGTTAACAATAGTCTTTAAAAGAAGCACCTTCAACTTCAGTTCTTAAAGTTATTTATAGAGCCATTCTTAACACACCAGCACTCCTGCTAACAAGAGCTTTAGCCATTTGGAAATTATTAGCCATACGGTTGTACACAAAGAGAAACGACTGCATTTAACATCTGTATCTTTCCAAATTTACATGCTTCAACCTCATTTAAAGTCATTTCTTAATGAACAGTGCTATGGTGATACATTAATATTATAGTTGCATGCACAAAGATCATAAGGAGCCAAACATTTTTTTAAATGCCAACAGTAGGCCAATCTGTAATGAAGCTGTCAGCATAAAGGACAAAATAATAGCTTCTTTAACCCTCAAACAGAATTTGTTCATTTGTAGACTAGAACATATCAATTTAAAAACTGCTCATGGGTTTGCTCACCTTTATAAAGACAAAAATCTAATTTGTA